AGAGAGAGAGAGAGGGATTCTCGGATTAGCAGGGAGAGGTTAAACTTTTATTGCTCAAAGAAGGCAACATCAAGGATCACCCGAGTGCGTTGAAACTTGCTTTTTTCTCAAGGTAAATTTTCTCGTCATTAATGATTTCTTGTTAATCTATAGAAATGGTTTTATTGGTGGGCTATTTTTGCTCTTTCTCATGGATGATTAATTCTGCATCCTTGTTTTTTTTGGAGATTTATTGGTTATGTATCTAGGTTTTTTATTTTTTGTTATTTTATTTCCATGTGTGTTGAAGGGATTGGCTTTAATCATTCTGAACTGCAGATAGGCATAAATATCGACGATTTGTCTCACTTTATTTCCTATGGTTTCAATTTTCTATATCTTCAGTTGATTTGGGGGTTTAGGGTTCTGCATTTTGGATTTGTTTTCAATGAAAAGTTAGGGTGAGGGCTTCTTAGCCCTTTCCATCACATTGAGGGTTCTGTCGATGGGCTTTGTCAAATTTTAGTTCCATGAAATAACCAAATGCCTTTGATTATTTCTTCATGTCAAATGCTTTGTTGTCAGAAATCTGTATGTTACACACATTTGCCATGCTATCGATCTTCCTCTTGCTGGAAGCACATGCTTCCTTTTGATAGTGAATTGCAATTCATTATGTATTGCTTTGTAGGAATTCTATACTTTTTTATAGGGTCCTGCTCCATCGTTAGTGTATTCATACATGCGCGTGCCATAAGATTGTCATCTTTCTCTGTCTCTCTTTCTCTTTCTCTCTCTCTCTCTCTATCTTTATGTTAAAGTGATTGCTTTCGTGTTGCTATTTCAAATGAGACAAACTTATCTTCTATAATGTATTGGTGTCGTGGCAAAATGGAATGGTTAGCTGAAGCTTTTAAATATCTATGTCCTAAATAACTGGCATATGTTTGCTCTTGAAGGCTGCAGGCTGCTTGTGCATTGAGTGAAATTTTGGTATTAAGAAAATCAATTTTGTTTCTTATTTATACAAATATTGGTAGCATCAAAGGAGGGTTCACACTTTTATGAAATCTCTAAGCACAATAAAGTATTCATGTAATCTATTTAAATGTTTGGTATTATATTGGATGAATGGAAAGAACCTTGTTTAATTCATCGTCATTATAGCCTTTTCCCAATTAATTGAAGTTAGCTACAAGAATCTTGGTCCGCCATTCTGCTCTTTTTAAGGCCATACCCACAGTGAGATCATAAGTCCCCATATCTTTTTGGACTACTTCCTTTTGGGCCTACTTTTGCCCTTTTTAATCCTTCCACTTGAACTAACTCGCACCTCCTAACAGGTGCTATACAGCAAAACTGGTCTCACAACTGTCCTATAGAACTCTCTGCCTTCTTCTTTTTAGGTTCAGTGCCTTCCAGGCCTTGGTCTCTCTTTCCTCTTTCCTCCCTATCTTAGCCCTGTCTCTGGCCCTCACCTCCTCGATGGACCGCTCCCCTTTTCCTTCTGGTTTCGACCGTTCGCCTGTTTTTGACCCCTCCTCCCCCACCCTTGTTTTCGTCCCCCCCTCTCTGGCCCCTTTTTCTTCCCCCCCACCCTATCTGATTCGGTCTACCAGCATTCATTCCACCCATCGTTGCTTCGGGCCTTTTTGCCTTTCTCATCTCTCGGTTTCTCACTCCCTCTTCCTCACCTATCCTGCCTCTCCATATCTCTCTTACCCCTTCCCTCACCTTGTCCCTACCTTTTTTTTTGTTTCTCCTCCCCCTCTCCCTTCCCCTGGGGACCTGGACTCTCTTTCTCTGGCTTTTTTGCTCCCTCTACCTCTCCCCTTTTTGTTGCCAGACCCCACCCTGGTTCAGCCCCGCCATTCTCCAACCCCTGTTCTCCTTCCCTATGAACTAGTTGAACCCTCTGAACCTCTTCCGTCTCTTCCATCTGATCTTTACCCCTCCTTGTCTCCTCCACCCCTTCTCCGGCTTTGGGTTCTAGCTCGCAAGACTACCTTGGTTCGCCGGTCTCTCACCCCCTCAAGGAGTGCACATGACGAGGGGGTTGACGGGGACAGCCAAGAACGTGTATCGGAAGAATGAAGGATCTGTTTCGTATCATAGGATTCTAGCATGACGACCCTGAAGGTCTTGCCCACCGGTTTCTCCTAGCAGATGCACAAAGTCGTCAGGAGGTGAGCTTTAAAGGACAAAGGGAGCTCCTCAACCTCTTCTCTACTGTCTCCTATGGTGGCCCCTCTATCATTGATCCCCACCGCTCTTCCCCCTCCCCCACCTTGAGGCGGTTTGCTAGATTAGCTACTTCAATGAAGATTCTCTCTTGGAATATCAGAGACCTGGGACACCCGTCCAAAAGAAAAGCCGTGAAGGACCTGGCCGTGAAACACTGTCCCACTATTCTGGCCCTCACTAAAACGAAACAACCCTAACCTTTTCTTCTTCTTATCCGTCAAGTTTGGGGTAGGAGGCCTTGCCAGTGGGCTGTCCTACCTGCGGTGGGGTCCTCAGGGGGAATTTGGGTCATTTGTGACCCCTTAGAAACCTCCTGCTATCCTCTCATATGGGGATTTTTCGGTTACCATCCTCCTGTCCTGTCCCGCTTCTCAGATGGCTTAGAATAGAAGTTCTCGGCTATTTACAGCCCCTGTTCTCCTTCCATGCGGCCTCGCCTCTAGATTGAATTGGATTTTGTGGTCTCCCTTCCTCATCCAGTTTGGTGTTTGGGGGGAGACTTCAACATAACCCGGTGGTCTTACGAGAGAAATTCCAACTCTCACATCTCTCCTGGAATGATGGAATTCTCGGACTTCAGTTTTAGGAATGATCTCCTAGATATCCCTCTTCAAGGAAACCGCTTCACTTGGTCCAACCATTCCCCCCAACCTACTATCTCTAAACTCGACAGATTCCTTCTAGCCTTGAATTGGGAGGAATGACTCCATGACTTTGCTTAAATCCACTTCAGACCACTGCCTTATTATTCTTCGCACCCAAGCCCTAAATATAGGCCCAAAACATTTCAGATTTGAACTGGCTTGGTTAGAGAAATAATCCGTTTCTTCTCTTATTCCCACGTGGTGGAACTCTTTCTCTGGCCAGGTAGTGGGAAGAGCTGAATTTATTCTCTAATCTAAAATCCAACTCCTTAAAGCATCTCTTAAAGCTTGGAGTCAATCCATTCTAGGGAACTACACCCACGTTAAATCCTCTCTCCTTTCCTCCATCCAAGAACTCGACTGCCTCGAGGAGTCCTGCCCTCTAACAACCTCTGAAGCAGACCAGAGAATCCAAACCTAACTAGATTACTTCTACACCCTAAAAAAAGAAGAGCTCTATTGGTTCCAAAGATCTAGAGTCAACTGGCTCAAAGCAGGGGATCACAATACTCATTTTTTCCACATGATAGCGAATTGTCGTAGGAGAGTTAACTCTATCTCGATTATCAAAACTGACAATAACTATCTGATCCAGCCGAGAGAAATAGAGTTGGCAATCCTATCTTTTTTCCAAAACTTGTACGCTGCCCAGCGAGGTCCAAGACCTGCCATGACTGACCTCAACTTCCTTACTTTGTTGGAAGAACAGGCTCAATGGCTGGAGCGACCTATCTTAGAAGAGGAAGTCTTGAAAGCCTTAGACGACTTACCCAAAGACAAAGCTCCAGGCCTGCCCTGATGGGTGTCCCATTGCCCCCTTCAAAATCTTCTGGGAAACTTTCCGCACTGATTTTATGAGCTTCGTCATTGAGTTCTTTCACCGGGGAGTACTCCACAAAGCTATCAATGCCACTTTCATAGCCTTGGTCCCAAAGAAAGAAGGGGCTAAGGAACTTAAGGACTTTCGTCCCTTCAGTTTGCTCAACTCCTATAAGATTCTTGTTAAAGTGCTGGCATCAAGATTACAACAGGTTCTTCCCTCTATCATCTCCCCTACTTAGTCGGCCTTCATTAAAGATAGGTAGATCGTGGATGGTGCATTAATTGCCCACGAGTGCTTACACTCTAGACATTTAGCAAAAAAAGCTGGTCTCATCTTCAACATCGACTGGGAGAAAGCCTACGACCACGTTGATTGGTCCATTATAGAAGAGGCGATGGCAATAATGGGTTTTCGAGATTGTTGGAGAATGTGGATGAGAGGTTGCTACTCTCATCCACATTTTCGATACTCATCAATGGTACCGTAAAAGGATTCTTCCCCTCCTCGAGGGTACTTCGACAAGGGGCCCCCTCTCTCCATTCCTCTTTGCCATCTCAGCCGAAGTCTTTAGCAGGTCCCTGTCTCGAGTTTACCAGACTGGTCTCCTCACTGGCTTCAAAACCTCTTACCGCGGGCCTATTGTGTCACACCTGCAATATACAGATGACACCTTGGTTTTCCTCGATGCTTCCCCCTAAGAAGTGGATAACCTAAGGCTTTTTCTGGGCCACGTGCTTCAAGGTCAACATGGTAAAATAAAAATGATGGGTATAGCTATAGCCAATGCCCAAATCAGATAGCTCATTCCAAATTGGCAGTGCAAAGTCGAGGACCTCCCAACAACCTATTTGGGTCTACCTCTCGGATTGGGCAAACCAAAAAAGAGACATTGGTCCCATGTGATTGACAAGGTTGATAGACGTCCAGTGGGGTGGAAAGGGAGATACCTATCTCAAGTTGGTAGAACCACTCTTATCAATGCAACCTTGGCCAATGCACTTGTGTACTTAATGTTCTTTTCCAAATACCAGTTGCAGTGGCTAATAAGGTCAACCAACTTATGAGGAATTTTCTATGGTCAAGGCAGGCTGAGAAAACCAAATTCCATTTGATCTCTTGGTACAAGGTACTCTTACCCAGACAATAGGCGGGGGCTTGATATCAAGCTCTTAAGAAAACACAACTTGGCTCTCTTATGTAAATGGTGGTGCTTGGCCACCCAAACGGGCCACCCAAACGGACACTCTCTGAGCCCAGGTTCTGCGAAACAAATACAAGATTCCCAATAACACCTGGGTGCCAGAGAGGAGACCTTGGACCTATGCATCAGGAGCGTGGAAGTCCTTCATCTCCTCTCTCTAGTTGTTCAAAAAATACATCAGGTTCCTTGCTAGAGAACGAGCTAGTGTTCGTTTCTGGTTAGACCTTTGGATAGGCCATGCCCCTATGAGGGACCTCTATCCATCTCTTTTCTCAGTCGTAGCAAATAGGGAAGCCACTAGAGGAAGAAATGCTGTTGTTGGGAGGTCGAAGAGTGTGGAACCCCTCTTTTAGAAGAAACCTCTCTGAGGAGGAAACAAATCACTTTCGCTCTCTTTCGGCACTATTACACCAATATTTTCTCCCTTCACAAGGAAGGGACTAGTTGGTATGGTCCCTCGCTCTTCAGGGTTTTTTTTAGTGGCCTCTTTCTACAAGAAACTCATCCAACCTCCCACTTTCCCACTAGATCCCACTTCGGACCTGTCTCAAGTCTGGCATACTATAGCTCCCCCTAAGGTGCAAACTTTTAATTGGGTTGCGGCCTCTCAAAAGGCTCTTACAGTCGACCCCCTACACAAGAAAGGGATTCTTATCCCCAACGGATGCATCATGTGTCTGTCTGAAGAGGAATCCAACTCCCACCTGTTCATCCACTGTACCCTTGTCCATGATCTATGGAGACTCACGCTTCAACTTTTTGGTGTTCACTGGGTAACTCCATCGACGGTTCGTGACTTAATAGCTGTTGACTTTGCCACTCATTGGCCGAAGGCCGGCAAAATCCTATGGAGGGCAGCTGTGGCAGCAACAATTTGGGTGATCTTGACAGAAAGAAATGCCAAGATTTTTCGTGGACAGTTTTGCCAGGTCCCAACCCTCTTCTACAAGGTTACGACATCAGTAACATTCTGGGTGTCAAACCAACACCTTTTCAAGGGTATCCCTACAAACTCCTTCTTAAGCCAATGGAAGAATACCCTAGTTCACAGACCAAGGAAAGAGAAAAGACCATCCATCTGGAAGCTACCTCCTGAGGGAGTTGTCAAGCTAAACTTCAATGGGTGCTCCTTGGGGAACCCCGGCCACGCTGGTGCAGGTGGGTTCTTTAGAGATCACTACCGCAATATCCTTCTCACTTACTCCGATTATCTTGGCCTCCAAGATTCCCAGTACGCCGAATCAATGGCCCTTTTAAAGGTCTTGCAAAGCTTTGATCCGTCCTGGGGGCAAAGTCTGATAGTAGAGGGTGATGCATCAAACATCATCTCTTGGGCCACCGGGAGATCTACACCCCCTTGGTGTTTGACAACGATTTATGATAAAATTGTATACACTTGCAGGGATATGGATGTCTTTTGGACGCATACCTCGAGGATGTCAAAACGAGTTCGCTGACCTCCGGGCGAAGGATGGGGCGAGGGCCTCTGAAGAAGACACCTGGCTCATTTTCGCTTAAGACCGGTGAAGAACCGCTTAGAAGGAACACTCATTGTATTCGGGCAACCTTTTTAACCCATTTTTGTTATTTCGCTGTAAACCTTGCAAGGGACCACTTTTTGAGAAGCCACTGTAAACTTTGTAAGGGGACTATACTATAACCCCATTTTTTGTATAGGGTCCTACGTCTTTTTTACTGAAGAGTCCTGCCTAGAGGGTACTCTCGGACTAACCCCAAAATTATACTATTCTTCTCTCAGCAATACAACTCTTAACGTTTATCAAAAAAAATAAAATACAAAATGTTATTAAAAAGGGCATTTCGTACATCATATGAATAAAATACATAATTAACCGCATTACAGACAATTTCCAGCTTTCCCATTGCCAGGTAACGATTATTCTCTCTCTCCTCCTTGAGCTCTCTCTTCCTTCCATTTTTTCTCTCCTCTAACCTGCCAAATTTTCTTCCTCTTCCTCTAGTCTCTGAGCTTTCTTTCTCTCTCTTTCTAACCTATGATCCATGTCTTGAGAAATTTGTCTATTTTTTTGGGGAATATTTAGCATTGATTTAGAGCTTTTATTATTCTCTTAGCCTTTTTGTTCAATAATTTCAGAAAACATTTCCATAATTTTCTCTGTTAATTACAACTTTTCTGTTCTTGTGATTCCTTTGCGGTTTCTTAACTTTGCAGTAATTTTCTACATCTACTGGTGATTATTTCGTGGTTTTTTTTTGTTTTATTCGAAAGTTTTCGCATTTCAGGGCATCTTTTGTATTTTAGTTGTTTAATCTCTATCAAGCACAAACACCCTTTCCTTTTCCTCTGCTCCTATCTCTCTCTATCTCACCCAATTCTCTCTCTCTCTCTAGACAAATTGTTTAGGGTTTTTAGTCTCTGCATTCAACACCCTAGATAAATTTTTAGGATTTTCAATCTCTGTATTTAACACCCTAGATAGGGTTTTGGAAGAGGACAGCAAAAGCTTAGCAGAGAGTCCACAAGGTAAAATGGTTTTGTTTTTTGTTTTTTGTTTGTTTATGGAATGGAAAAGGCAGCAACTTTGTTTTCTCTTAATTTGTTTACCTTTTTTTTTCTGGTTTCTGGACTGGAAAAGACAACACCTTGTTTTTGTATGTTCAGTGTGATTCTTGTATGCCCTGGTTTTCTAGTTACTTGGGTTTTGATGGATTTTCGAATTGATGTTCTGGTTTTTACCTTGTCTCTATGGAAATGTTTGTGGTTTTTCCTAGAGAGAGCAATAAAGATGTTAAAGTGAAATCCCAAATTGAAAGGTAGAAACCGTATTGTCTGATTTTGTATGCATTGTATGCCAATTACTGAAGGAAAAAGTTTATATAAGGATGCAACCTTATAATGTAGAACTACGGATGCACCTCAAAAATCCGTCGGAAAATGTAGTTTTAATGTTGAAAAACCCCTTGATTGATCATCTCGACATCGAGATTTATGACCATGAAAAATAAAAAGATTTTAAGTCTCAAAAATAGTGCATTTTACAACATAGTATCTACACCGCCCATTTTCAAGATTTTCATACGTTTATAGATCTACTTGATTTTTAAAC